ATATCCAATTATTTTAGTGAAATATGAGGCCAAGTTCGCAGCTGAGAAGGTTGGTGGGAGGAAGCCATGTGGAAAGGTTGGGGAGGAATGAAAAGATCTGGAAAAGCTGGGGTAGGGAATCAGTTAGGGAGATGTCAAAGATTGCCTTGCCATAGTGGGGGCCCGGCCAAGCTTATGTAACTGAAATTTGTCATGGACCCAAGCAACCTGGTTTCATGATTCTCTCTTCATTCATCAGGATGTGAGTAAAAGAGAAGGCCAGTGTCTTATCCTGAAGTGATCCAGTGCTCAGATTTTCATAAGGCATCAACCCAAGTTCCTTTCTTGATTTTTATGGCCCAGTCTTTGTCTCCATTTTTGGAGAACCATTGGCCAGATCCATGTAGGTGACTGCCACTGTCAGTTTAGGGAGATAAGAGGTAGAGATTTCCAGTTGTCCCATAGCAGGAGACCCTCCAGCAGCCTTCGGGATCCCCAGTATTTGGTCTGGTCAGATGCCATCCACATTAGAACTGGACAAAGGTAACTAATTCCATGTGGGTTATATGGTAAAAGAAGGAGACAGAAAGCAAGGCTGAGGCCAGAACCTGTATGTGACTGAAAGGAGAGAGATTAGATTCCAGCGATTGAGATACAGGTTAGGGCCTTGTAGGAAAATGCCAGTTCAAGAAGGATAGCAGAGTTGAGGAGCAAATGGTAAAACTAATAATAGTTAATAATTATATAGTGCCTCATCTGGGCCAAAACTCTCAGATACTTCATATGATTCTCATGAGAATCATAGGAAGTAGGGGCTGTTATTATCCTCATTTTACAGATAAGGAAACTGAGGCAAACAGAAGTGCTGGGACTTACCCAGCATGACATTGCTCGTGAGTTTCTGAGGTGGCACTGGTACTCGGGTCTCCTTGACTTCATCTCCAGCTCTCTGTCTGTTGTGCCACCAGCTGTGTTCTGGTTCATAACTAGGATGCAGTGAGAATGTTCACTCATACATGGATGAGCTGAGAAAGGGGAAGAGAATTTTATAAGTTATCTTTCTGAGAGTTGGGAATTTTTTGTTTTTAGCTCCCTATCTAGTCACCAAAATGAACAATATGAAGTGCTAGGCATTGTAGAAAAGACTTAGTTTGTTATTGACCAATGAGAAGGGGTGTATTAGATGATAAAAGTACTTGAAGGTCAATAGTACATATTGCTTTTTTTTAAATACTGTTTACCTATAAAACCTTTCTTTTTTCAAAAATTTAATATTTTATTTTCCTCCAATTAAATGTAAAAACAATTTTTAACATTCATCTAAAACATTTATTGAATTTCAAAATCTGTTATTCTACCCTGACCCCTGACTCTTTGAGAAAGCAAATAATTTGATACAGGTTATACATGTGCAATCAGGTGAAACATATTTCCATGTTAGTCATGTTATGAAAGAAAACACAGACTAAAAGGAACAAGAAAAATAAGGAAATAAAGAAAAAATACATTTCCATCTGCAGTCAGATTCCATCAGTTCTTTCTCAGGAGATGGATAGGATTTCCCATCATGAGTCCTTCAGAATTGTCTTGGGTCATTGTATTGCTGAAAATAATTACATCATTCACAGCTAATCATCATACAGTATTGCTGTTACTATATACAGTGTTCCCCTGGTTCTGTTCATTTGACTTTGTATCAGTTCATGTGAGTCTTTTCAGCTTTTTCCGAAAACATCTTTCTTATCATTTCTTATAGAACAACAGTATTTCATCACAATCATATACAACAATTTGTTCAACCATTCCCCAATTGATGGACCACCCCTCAATTTTCAATTTATAGAAATATAAATTATATAAATATAAATATTTTTGTATATATAGGTACTTTTTATTTTTGTTTTGTAATCTCTTTGGGATAAAGAGCTAGTAATGATATTGCTTGGTCAAAGGGTTTGGGTGCTTTTACAGTCCTTGGGGCATAATTCCAAATTGCTCTTTAGAATGGTTGAATCGGTATACCACTTTACCAACAGTGCATTAGTGTCTCAAATTTTCCCACATTCACTCCAACATTTATCATTTTCCTTTTCTGTCATATTAGCCAATCTGATAGGTGTGGAGTGGTATCTCATACTTGTTTTAATTTGTATTTCTCTGATCAATAGTGATTTAGAGCATTTGTTTATATGACTATAGATAGCTTTGATTACTTCCTCTGCCAAATGTCTGTTCATATCCTTTGACCATTTATTAATTGAGGAATGACCCTTATTTATGTAAATTTGACTCGGTGTATTTGAGAAATGGGGTCTTGGTCAGAGAAATCTGCTGTAACAATTTTTTTGAAGTTTATGATTACTAACTGTATTTCCCTCCATCTTCTTTTCCTCCCATTTTTGTTATTCTCTCTTCCCTTCCCTTCCCTTTCCTTTCACCCTATCCATCCTCAAAAGTGTTTTGCTTCTGACTTCTATCTCCCCCAATCTGCCTTCCTTTCTATCAGCCCCAACCCCCTTCTCTTATTCCCTTCCTCTCCTACTTTCTTGTATGGCAAGATAGATTTCTATACCCAATTGAATGTGTATGTTATTTCCTCTTTAAGCCATTTCTGATGAAAGTAAGATTCACACTTGACCCCCACTTCACCTATCTTTTCCTCTACCATAAAAGCTTTTTTGTACCTCTGTTATGTCAGATAATTTACCCCATTCTATCTCCCCCTTTCCCTTTCTCCCATTGCATTCCTTCTCATTCCTTAATTTTATTTAAAAGAAACAAAACAAACTAAGGACCATAACTTTCTTATTCCTACCACTGGCACACTGGCTGTACTCTCACAAAAACTTTTGTGAATGACTGATCCATGTTGCCAACCAATTCTTTTGGAAACCTGTTCAGTTAACTAAACAAGTTGTGGTATATGATTAGGAAGAAAATGAAGTACTGAGCTATCAGAAGTGATGAATTCAGTGATCTCAGAAAATCATGCAAAATCTTGCATGAAATAATGAAGAGTGAAATGAACAGTACTAAGAGGACATCATATACAGTAACAGCAATGTTGTTTTCAGAAAGACTTTGAATGAATGTTATATAATTATAAATACCCAAATTAACTATAAAGGACATATAAAGAACAGTGCTATCTGCCTCCAGAGTAAGAAATGATAAATAGAAGTATGTATAGAATAAATACACCTATATATAATTTATGTCTGATGATAGCCATCTTTAGAGTTGGGGGGAGGGAAGAAAAAAAGGAGAAAAAATTTACTTGATGATTTTGTCGTATATTTGAAAGGAGTAGCAAGTTTTTCATATTAGATTTGCAGTTTCACACACAATCATCTTTTTTACTGTACTATGTTTTGGAAAGGCTTATATTCCACAAATATATATTAATTTAAAAAAAAAGAAAAAGAGAAGAAAAAATTTGCTCAATTGAAGAGTATTAACGTAAGTGGAGGGTAAGTTCAAATCAGAAAATAGCCTGAAAACTCTAATGAGAATGAATATAAGGACTGTTTTCTAGAACGGTTGAGATGGCCCATGATGGTTTCAGGATGGCTTGTAACATGCTCCTGGTTTCCAAAGAGCCTGCCATCTGTGCACAGAGGTGACATCTTGACCTGGTGGTTACCCTGCTGATGAGATGTGCTTACAAGGTCACCTGGGAGTGAAGGAACCACTCTGGTGCAGTGACAGAAAGCAAGTGACCACAGGTGCATGCCTGTGACCACCCACTGGGAATCAGTTTGCACTTGGATTTCAGACCTTTCTGGCTGTTGGGAAACAATCTGATATCAGGATGAGAACCTGAAGGAACATGCGGCACCTAGTCGGAAGTGGTCAGGATTTGATGTAACCACTGCATGAACTTGAAAAATATTTATGCAGGACCATGAGAGTTTGGAATCCCTGCAGAAAGAAAACTAATGTGCTTGAAACATGTACGTGTTAGTCGTTGCAGAGGAAAATATTTATACATTTAAATTTTTAGGTATAATTTATTTTATTTTATTTCTTTCATTTTGCATTTGTTTTATTTTTCAAATTTAATCAAATTTATTTTATTTAAATAAAGTTATATATTTATATAATACTAACATATATTTCTATACTAAATAAATTCATATAACTATATACATTTATATATTTACATTTAGTTTATTTATTTACATATATTTATAACTTAATTCGGCGATTATTTTCTGCTCTAGGTTCCATTAAATGATTTTTAGCACAAACCCCTTAGGCCATTACTGTGAAGCCCCAAAGGGTTCATCAGCCACAAAATGGCTAGGGCTGCAATAGGCGCAATGGTGAGGCACGCTGTCCACTTCCTGACAGAAGGGGGACACACTCAAAGTCCAGTATAACTGATAATATTTTTGTACATGGGAAAGAAGTGGATTTTTAAAATCATGTTTATTGCAAGGATTTTGGGTTTCCTTTTTTTAATTAGGGAGCAGAAGCATTCAAAGATAAACTTTAAAAAACAAATAGATAATGGCCATCCTAAAAAAGTGACGGATCAGACCAGAATATAGCAGGCGTCAGGTGAATGTAAGAGACACGGTTGACAGTTATGTGGCCTTAGATATGAGAACAGAAAAAAGCAAAGAAAAGGGATCACCAGAGAAATTAAATATGCTTATAGACGTGACGGGGAATGAAATAATATGAATATTTAGTGTATGTGCCACAAATGGCACATCTATGAATCTGAAGATAATAGAAGCAAAGTTGGACCCAAAGTTGAAAATTACTAAAGAACAGAATATTGCCTGGCTTAGCATGTGATTTACAAAGAAGGGCTATGAAAATACATCAAAACTGATCAAGAAAGAGAAACATGGAGAACTCTAACCCCAACAAAGGTACAAACAACAACTGGCGTTTGGAGAAATGCCATGGAGGTCCTGTGAAGGGGTGCAGAGAGGGGGAGGCTGGGTCGTGAGGGCCACATGCCTCCTGGGACTGGAGGGTTCTTTCCTCAAGGTCCTTAGTGGTTGGGCATGTTGCTGTGGCAACCAGCAAGTAAGAGGCCACATGTGGGAGAGGACAAGGGTCTCAGAGACCCCTTGTCAGGATTTCCTGCCCCTCCCCTCCCAAGTGTCCAGCAGAGCAGAAGGGACCCTGACATCACCCATGATTGTGCTGTACACCTTGACCTTAGGCTGCTTGTCTGAGTGTTGACAGTATTGGACATGATTGAAAGAGGACATGCATTCAAATCCTGCTACTGGCTCTTAGGAGCTATGTGCCTTATCTGAGCCTCAGGCAAAGATCTAAGACTTCTCTACTTAAAGGCATCCTTACACCAAAAGTGTGGCACCTATAGTCAATGCAGAGAACCAGAATCTTAACCTGGGAAGCCCCCAAACCATGCTGACACAGCCACTGAATGGTGCTGACACAGAAGGATATACAGTCATTAAGAAGGGAAATATTTGCCAGGAGACTGGGGCTGTAAGTGATTGCATCAGGGGTCATTGTCTTGTTCTGGTACTTGGCACTGATCACCTTCTATTCCAGTATGAGATAGTGGTCCACTCCCTTCATTCAGGGAACTTAGCAATGCCTTCCCAAAGACACTATTTTTCAAACACCTGAGTGCAAAATGGTCATCATCGTTTCTAATAAGAACAAATTTAACTACAGGATGTGAAAAGGATTATAGTTTTGAAAACTCCAACCAAAATTGTATTTTAAAAATGTCTGAACTCAAATTACATTTTACAGTATATTTCTCATACTGTTGATTGGGCTTTTAACTCGTACTTCTGCGCATTGCCTCTAAAATGGTGTTACAGACATGCCAAGTGTCCTATTTCCACTGGGTACTTGTTTAAATGACTGCCAAAATAATGGTCTCTGTACATGCTTACAAATACAAGCAAATAAACATGTGATAATGAAATAGTTTTTCTTTGAAGAAAAAAGTGCAAAGGAGAAAGACCATCTAGTACCTTGGACAGAGCATGCCCAGTCACAAGGTTTGAGTTCTAGTCTCAGCTACAGGGATGTTGGGCAGGTCACTCAGCCATTCATGGCCCAAGTTGGGAATGTGATGAGAATGCTGGTTTTTCCTGTGTTGTGGGTTTGTTGTGAGAATCCAGGGTTGTTGTATGTGAAACTCTTTGTAAATTAAATCAGCCTGGGGATGTGAGCTACAGGCATTTTCAAATGATGGATTCTACCCATTTAAGTTTGAAGACTCTTGTCTTTCCCTAGGGAAGTAGATTATAATCAGTGACTTTCTGAGATATATTTGTGTATATGCGTGTGCGTCCATAAATAAGTCAATACGTTTCTCTCTTTGTTTCCTTCAGATGGAGAGACCAGGCTTGAAATCAGGGAGACTGCTTCAGAGCTGAGCATTTCTGTGGGCAAATCACAATGGCCAAGATTCATGAATGATGGTCACTGGGACGTCATTTTGAGAGATATCTGTGAATCTAATATCAAGATGGAGGAAAAACAGAAGAGTCACTCTGAATTTGATAAAGACGGAAAGAGTTTCAGCCGACGTCCCCTCCTAATTCACTGTGAGAGAAGGACCTCAGGGAATGGCTGTTCACAGGATCATAAATATAGGGAACGCTTTACTGAACAGGTGGGGCTTGTTGAGTCTCATGAGAAGCCTCCAGTAGTGCAAACTCATCAATGCAATCAACGTGAGATGACCTTCAGCTTGAGTTCAGAGCTAATTAGACACCAGAAAAGTCATACCAGAGAAATGCTTTATACGTGTAATGAAGGTGAGAAGGCCTTCAGTCATAATTCAAAGCTCACTGACCATCAGAAAATTCCAAATGGAAAGAAACATTATGGCTGTAGTGAACGTGGTACATCCTTTAAGCAACAGTTATCGCTCATTCACCATCAGCAATTCCATACTAGTGAAAAGCTACATAAATGTATGCACTGTGGACAGGCCTTCCGGCGACAGTCATCCCTTGTTTCCCATCAGAGAATTCATACTAGTAAGAAATCTCATGAGTGTCATGAATGTGATCAAGCTTTCAGTGAAAACTCCTCTTGTATTGTACATCAGAGAAGAGACACTGCAGAGAAACCTTATGAATGTAACCAGTGTGGAAAGACTTTCAGACAGAGGTCCAGTCTTGCTGAACACCAGAGAATCCACACTGGAGAGAAACCTTATCCTTGTCATCAATGTGGAAAGTCTTTTAGATGCAATTCTAGTCTTGTTCAACATCAGAGAATCCACACTGGAGAGAAACCTTATGAATGTAATCAGTGTGGAAAGACTTTCCGATGCAACTCTAAACTTACTCTGCATCAGAGAATCCACACTGGAGAGAAACCTTATTACTGTAGTCAATGTGGAAAGAGTTTCAGACAGAGCTCTAGTCTTGCTGAACATCAGAGAATCCACACTGGGGAGAAACCTTATGAATGTAACCAATGTGAAAAGACCTTCACACAGAGTTCCAGTCTGTCTCTACATCAGAGAATCCACACTGGAGAGAAACCTCACAAATGTAATCAGTGTGGGAAAACTTTCACAAACACATCCAATCTTGCTGAACATCAGAGAATCCACACTGGAGAGAAACCTTATGGATGTAATCAATGTGGGAAAAGTTTCAGACAGAGCTCCAGTCTTGTTGAACATCAGAGAATCCACACTGGAGAAAAACCTTATAAATGTAATCAATGTGGAAAAAGTTTCAGACAGAGCTCCAGTCTTGCTGAACATCAGAGAATCCACACTGGAGAAAAACCTTATAAATGCAGTCAGTGTGGAAAGACTTTCAGGCACAGCTCTAGTCTTGCCAATCATCAGAGAATCCACACTGGAGAGAAGCCTTATGAATGTAATCAGTGTGGAAAGGCTTTCACACAGAGTTCCAATCTTGCATTACATCAGAAAATCCACACTGGAGAGAAACTTTATGAATGTAATCAGTGCAGAAAGAGTTTCACAAATACATCCAAACTTGCTCTACATGAGAGAATCCACACTGGAGAGAAACCTTATGATTGTAATCAATGTGGAAAGACTTTCAGATGTAGATCCAGTCTTGGTAAGCACCAGAGAATCCACACTGGAGAGAGACCTTATGAATGTAATCAATGTGAAAAGACTTTCAGATGCAGTTCTGGTCTTGCCAAACATCAGAGAATCCACACTGGAGAGAAACCTTATGAATGTAATCAGTGTGGAAAGAGTTTCAGACAGAGCTCCAATCTTGCTGAACATAAGAGAATCCACACTGGAGAAAAACCTTATGAATGTAATCAGTGTGGAAAGGCTTTCAGATTCAACTCCAAACTTAGTCTCCATCAAAGAATCCACACTGGAGAGAAACCTCATGAGTGTCACGAATGTGGCAAAGCCTTCAGGGAGCGTTCATCTCTTATTGTACATCAGACAATCCATACTGGAGAAAAACCTTATGAATGTCATCAATGTGGTAAAACCTTCCGGCAGCCATCATCTCTTATTTCCCATAGAAGAATTCATAATAGATAGAAATCCTATTACTATAATGAATGAGAAAAAGCCTTCAAATAGAGTATAGAGCTTGTTAGATATCAGAAAATTTATTCTGGGGACAAACTGAATTTGGACTCAATGTGGGAAGACCTTTAGTCAGAGATCACTTCTTATCTTACATCGGAGGATTCATAGTGGAGAGAAACCTCAATGGGGACATACCTTTTGCTGGAAGATGGAGATCCCTAGACACCAGAATATTCACACTGGAAAGAAGGGTTATAAAAGCAATGATTGTAGGAAAGCCTTGAAGGGGAGCCTGTAATCTTGTAAAGCTTGTAAAGGGGATCTGTACATTGGAGGAATTATGTTGGAGATAAAACTTTTGAATCTAATTAACGAGGGGAGACCTTTTGCTCCGGCACAGACTTAAACATCCCAGATTTCATAGAGACTTCATAACCCTAAATGCACACATAAAATCCTTCAAATGTAATGAATTTTCTCTGAAATACTATTGTTTTTCAGTTCTCTGTAGTATCCAATAACATTAATACCCTATAACAGTTATGGCGTAACTCCACCAGCCATTTCCCAGTTGATTCATACTCACTTGTTTCCTGTTTTTTGTTGACACAAAAAATTCTGGTATAAATATTTTGGTAACTGTTAGACATGTATTTATGTAGTGATTTCTTTAGTCTAGTATGTGGCACAATTGATAGAGTGCTGACCCTGGAACCAAAAGACCTGAATTCAAATTCAGTCTGACACTTCGTAGCTATGTGACTTTGGGCAAATCCCTCAAACTATTACTGCCTCAGTTTTCCTCATCTACTGTAGGATGTGTGTACTAATAATATCCATCTCTGAGGCTTGATGTGAGGATCAAATTTGATTGTATCTCTAAATTGCTTTGCAAGCATTAAATCACTATTTAAGTGCTAATTATCCTAATTATTCCTTGGTTCATACATCTTATAGTAGAATCTTTGGCTAAAATGTTTGGACAGTGAAGTCACTTTTCTTATAATTAAAATTGATATTGAAAACAGTGTAGAGTAAGGCAGTATATTGTAATTATAGGGCACTGGGTTTAGAATCAGGGAGACTTGGGTTCAAATCCTGCCTCACACACTGTCTTGTTGCATAATTCTGGGCAAAGAACAACCTCTTTTTGCCTCAGTTTGCTCATCTCTAAAAAGAGGAGGTTGGAAAGTAAATAATCTAATCCTAAAGAATGAGTTGATCAAAGATCAGATCACAGAAACTATAATTTCATGAAATATAATAACAACAATGAGACAACATCAAAATTTATAGGACACAGCTAAAGCAATACTTAGGGAAAGTTTTAAATCTCTGAATGCTTACATAAATAAGAGAGAAAGAATAGATTATACAATTGGGTATGTAAGTAAAAACCTATTAAAACAAATGAAAAACCTCTAATTAAATGCCAAAATAGAAATTCTGAAAATCAAAGGAGAGATAAATAAAAGAGTACAAACACATTTTAATAATAAATAAAACTTGAATAAATTATTCGTTAATTTTATTTTAAAAAGAGAAAACCAAATTATTCATATCAAAAATGAAAAAGGTGAATATGCAAGCAAAGAAGATGAAATCAAAGCAATAATTAGGGCCGATTTTACCCAAATAAAAGCCAATTCACTTCCATCTAAATGAAATGAATATTTACAAAAATGTAAGTTGCCCAGATTATTAGAAGAGGAAAAAGAGTATTTAAAAACTCCTACTTTAGGAAAGCAAATTAGACAAGTCATAAATGAGCTCCAGAAGACAAAAACTCTGGCACTAGATGCGTTTACAAGCAAACTCTGGGGTATAGGGGGCACTGTCCCAAACTTCAGGTTTTTTGTCCTTTTTTTTTCAAAACTAGTTCCAGGGATCTGTAAGTTTTCCATTCTTCCAAGGTGGTATGATCTAAGGAGAAATGTGGTCACTGCTCTCCTGGTCTGTGAGTGACCACAAGCACTCTTCTGCCCTGGACCTGTGACCAGGATCCCTGTTCCCATGTGACACATGCTCTAGTGCTCCTCCTCACCCTGGGATACCCAGTGCCAGCTAAGGGCCCCCAGCAATCTCCTGACCAGTTGTCTGACCCTTTTAAAGTCCGTGGGTTGAGTGCTCTGGAAGCCCCTGCTGTTGATTCAATGACCCCCAAAGCCCGCTGCTGGCTTGCTGGGGTATGGCCTGTGCTGCGCTGTACTCCACTCTCACCCCAGTGAGACTGACCTTTCCTGCCAATCTTCCAAATTCTCTTGTGCTGGAAATTATTTCACCCCATCCTTTTGTTGGTTCTGCCACTCTAAAATTCATTTTGAGGTGTTACGTTAAATTTATTTGGAGGGGAATTTGGGAGAGCTCAGATGAGTGTCTGCCTTTACTCCACCATTTAAGATGGATCTTCATAGACTCTCAGAGTCAGAAGGAGTGCTCAAAAGTCAGCCAATACCTAATAAACTTTCCAGTGATAATCAAGGTTGTTCTACTTCATTGTGTAATTTAGTGACAGCATTCAGTCTTTGCCAGTCTTCTTGGAAAGAGTAGATGGAGGAAGAGGACACAACAGGTAATAGGAGTAAAACTGAACAACCAGAAAAGCTAGATTAACACAACAGAACAATAATAGTCCACAGTCATAAAGCAATTAGTGTAGCATACAGTAACCAGGCAAAAGGAATCTAATCTGCTATATATGCCAAAAAATTCCCAAGAAGCAGGGAGATTACCTCCTGGGTTTTCTATTCTCAAATCCTACTGAGAGGCATTGACAGGAGAGGATATAGTAACAGGAAAATCTATGAAAAACTACAACAAAGATTACCAATACCATTTGTCATAATTAAAATGATGGTGTTCAAGCTCTAAGATTAAAGGTTCATAGATAGAGTTTCTGGTAATATAGTAAATACATAATCGAAATTGTTTCATAGGCAGTCTTCTTGTTCTGATTCACAGCATACATAAAGTGTTTGTTTTGGGGATTTTTCTACATTTCAAAATTTAAAAATCAAATATTGATATTTTCCTTTTTGTCATTTCCACCAATTTTGAAGACATGAGAAGTGTTGGGTCACAAAAATCAGAAGACAAAAACTATTTCAAATTAATGAGAAATTTGTTGATTACCACAGGCAGTAACCTGAATATATGGATGTAGGCTGAATATGTACATGAAGGTAGCTTGTGAAACTCTACAAAGTTCCCTAAAGAGTCCTCATTTATCTACCCTTGGACAATCAACTCTGGCTTCTTCTCTTTACCAAATATCATTCCTGAGTTAACACAACATTGACTCAATGCCTTCTCTTTATCCTGTTTTCAAGACCCTCCAGATATCTCCTTTCATGCAATCCTGCAGTTTATCTGCGAATCTATTGCCTCCTTTTTCTGTTTGCAACCTTGTGGAAGGGGACAACATTTTTTTTTCAACATTCTATTTTATGCTTATACAAAATTTAACATTTAAAATTGATCACCTTCCAGTGAAGTGTATATGTCTAGTGCCATATCACCCTGAATGCACTCAACCCCAACTGATG